AACAGCCACATGACCTAGAGAAAGACAGTGTGCTGGCTTGACAAACACGGCTTTGAGATAGGTTCACTGCACTCCACAAATTAATTGCATCTTCCTCACCCTACTATAAAATGTTGTTGTTGACCAGCACAATAGCTCACTCCTATAATCTCAGCACTTGGATGAAGCTGAGGCTGGAGGATCACTTGGGCTCAGGAGTTTGAGACCAGCTTGGAGAACATGGTGAGACCTTGTCTCTACTAAAAATAAAAATAAAAAATGAGCCTGTAGTCCCAGCTACTCAGGAGGCTGAGGTGGGAGGATCACTTGAGTCCAGGAGATTGAGGCTGCAGTAAGTGGTGACCATGCCACTGCACTTTAGCCTAGATGACAGAGTAAGACGGTCTCAAAAATACACAAACACATAGACACACACACACACACACACACACACACAGAGTCACCACTGAGCTTTAGGAAGCTGGGTGCAGTCCATTGACATTTTCATTCAGTAGCTCTTACTTGAATATTTGCTAGGCATAAGGTCCTGTGCTGCCTGCTGGGGAGATATCCTTGCGAAAGATCAACACGTGGCACTTGAAGATAGATAGATGATAGATGATAGATAGATAGATAGATAGATAGATAGATACATAGATAGATAGATACACAGACAGACAAATACAATACAATAGACTATTGGTCTGTTGATACATGTTTAGGAGGTCACGAGTGGCTTTCCCCCTCCCAGCACACCCACCCTAGATCAGTCAGTTGTCTTTTAGAGCTTACAAGGGAGGAAAAAAAATATTTTTTCTGCTGTTCTTCTAGATTCTTCAGCAGGGGCCTATAAATTGGGCTGACAAAAGACAGATTAGCAAGAGAAATACAAGCAGCAGTTTATTAACATGTGCACCCTGATTACACATGGAAGTACCCAGAGGTGAGTAATCCAAAGGAGTGGTTAGAACTTGGGCTTATATACCACCTTAACATAAAACACAGGAAAAGGGGTTTGGGGCTTCTGGGGGAAGCAAGTTATGGGATGGTGACCAGGAAAAGTATGGTAGACAAGAGTTGTTTAGTAAGGTTTGTTATGTGGATTTAAAATAGTACCTTCTTCACTGATAAAAGTTGCTAAGAGTACTTCTTTTCTTGGTATGAGAGAGGGAGATATCTCTACAAATCTAAATTTCCTTTATTAAGGGAAGCCATGTGCCTTGGTTTTAGAGTTTTCCTGAGACTGCTGGTTCTCAGTGGCCTTGAGCTCAAAACAATCCATACGCCAAAGAGGCATATTTTGGGATGGCATATTATGGTACCTCTCAGGCTACTCCTCACACTATTTTCACTTGACTTCCTAGTCACCTCATCTGGTCTTCACCTTGGACACTAGAGAAAATTCTCTGGCTCTGTCATAACCAAAAGCACAAAGTTCCTTGTGTGCATTCCTCTGATCTAAACCATTGTGACAGATTAAAACTAGGCTTTGTACAATCTTTAGTTGATGACTCCTCTGAGTCCTGCCCCTCTGGAACACAGGCCAAGACAAGCAGCCAAAACATGTCTTCACCTTCTCTCTTAAGAGCTTCTTCCTGACTTTCTTGCATCTTGGATATATTTTAGTAATTTCTCAAAAAGTATCTGCAATGGTTAATTTCATGTGTCAACTAAACTAGGCTATTATGCTCATTTGCTTGGTCAAGCACCAGTCTGGATGTTGCTGTGAAGGTGTTTTCTTTTAGATGTGATTAATATTTTAAATCAGTAGACTTTGAGCAAATTAATTTTTCTGCATAATTTAAATGAGCTCAGAGGACACAGCATCAAGCCAAAGATGGTTATTCTCAAAGCTTAAAATCTAATGGAATTTATCCTGCTAGGTTTTGAACCTGCTCAGAACTTTTGAGTCCCCTTTTCCTTCTGATTTCTCCTTTTTGGAATGGGCGTGTCTGTCCTATACCTGTCCTAACATTTCTATCTTGCAAGTAAACTTGTCTGGTTTCATAGGCTCACAGCTAGAGAAAAATGTTGCTCCAGAATGAATCACACTGAGTGTCACACACACCTCATTTAGATGATATTTAAATGAGATTTTGAACTTAGAGTTGATACTAGAATACATCAAGACTTCCAGGAGTGTTGGGTTGGGTGAATGCATTTTGTATGTGAAAAGGATGATCCAGAGGCTGGTCTGTGACAGGTTGAATTATGTTCTCCTGACCCAAATTCATGTTTTGAAATCCTAACCCCAGTGCCTCAAAATGTGACTCTATTTGGAAACATAGTTGTTGCAAATATAATAATTAGTTAAGATGAGGTAATACTGGAGTAGGGTGAGTCCCTGATAACAATATGACTGGGTATCCTTATCAAAAGAAAAAGTTTGGGCCAGGCGTGGTGGCTCATGCCTGTAATCCCAGCACTCTTGGAGGCCAAGGCAGGTGGATCACCTGAGGTCAGGGGTTCGAGACCGGCCTAGCCAACATGGTGAAACCCCATCTCTACTAAAAATATAAAAATTAGCTGAGCGTGGTGGCATGTGCCTGCAGTTCCAGCTACTTGGGAGGCTGAGGCAGGAGAACCACTTGAACCTGGGAGGCAGAAGTTGTAGTGAGCTGACATAGTGCCACTGCACTCCAGCATGGGCAACAATGAGTGAGACTCTGTCTGAAAGAAGGAAGGAAAGAAAGAAAGAAAGAAAGAAAGAAAGAAAGAAAGAAAGAAAGAAAGAAAGAAAGAAAGAAAGAAAGAAAGAAAGAAAGAAAGAAAGAAAGAAAGAGAGAAAGAGAGAAAGAGAGAAAGAGAGAAAGAAAGAAAGAGAGAGGAAGGAAGGAAGACAAAATTTAAACACAGACACACACACACACAGGAAAAACACCATGTGAAGGTTGGATTCATGCTGCCACAAGTCAAGGAGCTACCAGAAACCAGGAGGGAGGCCTGGAACACTAGATCCTTCCCTGGTGCCTTCAGAGGGAGCATGGCCCTGCTAACATCTTGATCTTGGATTTCCAGCCTCCAGAACGATAAAACCATAAATTTCTGGTTTTTTAAGCCTCTCAATTGGTGGTACTTTGTTATGACAGCTCCTGTAAACTCATAGAGTGTCCCTTCCTTGTCACCTCTGCATTGCACTCCCCACTGGATCAACACCTGGAAGCCCACCTTGTTGGAACCCTTATGTCACATAGGGGTGACAAGAAGGTCCTGCCTCTCAGCCCCAAGTTACTGGCCTTTCTGGATTTTGCGCCCTGCCATTAGCACAACTATTAGCATGTTCGTAACACAGACACGTTCGGATTGCTCTAGCTCCAAGTCATAAAGCCCTCTTAAAAAAATTAAGCCAAAAAGCGTCAAGTGGCTTAAGCACATCAGCACCTGAAGTATAAGGATTTTATCCTATACTTTTCCTGCTGAAACACACATTGGTTTAAAAACAAAAGTGAAAGGGGAGAAAGCGGCTTCAAAACTTATCTTTGTGTTCACTGAAAATGTTGGCACTGTCAGGGCAAGGTTACTCTGCAATGCTCAAGTGCATGTTCAGTTAACTAACTCTGAACAGAAGGATCCAGATTCTTTCTTTCTTCAAACGGTTGCCTCTGATGAATTAGGAATACAGGATAAAATAAGAAACACCAGTTTAGGAGTTGAGGACCCGGGTTCACATTCTGACTGGATCTCTTACCAGCTGCATGATCTTAGATAAACGCCTTGTCAAGCTCTTTGAGCATCATTTTTCTTATCTATGAATGAGAGGTAAAAATCCCATCTCAGGGAGGTATAGACTTTCCCTTTCTTAGGCCTCTGATTCCTGGAAGTGGGGGAGCATTTTAGCATGAAATATCCAAGTTATGCAGTGAGAATTCATCATTATTAACATGAGGAAGGGTTGTCTTATCGATGCTCCACCCTGAAGATGGGAAAGGACTACAGGGAACCACCCACGGTTTCCCTTTGGGACCAGCAGTACCTGTCGTCTCCCAGGGGAGGGATCATGTTTTGTGGAGTCTAGAGCTTAATTAACTTGGGAGGTCATTTTGAAGGAGTAGAACTCATAAATTCAAATACAAAAGGAGGTGCAGGGCTTGAAAGAGGCTTGTGTTAGCGACAGGCCCTGAAGCATGAGCTTCCTCAGCTGCAGAATAAACCTAAGCACGTCCCCTTTGGGATACAAGGAGAGTAGACTCAGGACCTTGGGCAGAAGAGTGAGGAGGAAAAAGAGAGAAAGATTAAAATGATAATAATAAGAGGATTCTAGAACTCCCATCTGAAGCTGATTCAGTATGACTGGAGTGTCGATAAATGTCTGTATTCAGGATGTCTATAAATGACTGCTACTAGATTACATTTCTTCAAAAAAATTTTTTTCTGCTAACTGAGTAGACCTGAATGCCTGCTCAGATCTGAAAATAGTCTATCTTATTTTGTCCTAACGTGATGTTAAGGGTGGATTTCTTTTTATGAAACTCCCATGTGTAGTTGGGACCTGGTTTCAGTTCACGTGTGGCTCATCCCCAGTGGTCATACTGAACCTGGGCAGGCCTACGAAAAGCCTGTGATGGGGTTCAGGACACGCTCCCTTAAAATACAGCACCTTGGCATTTGGGAAAAGCACAGAAGCAGGAAGTTCACTTCTACCATGCCTTCTCCCTTCTCCCTTCTCCCTTGAAGCAGGTCATAAGACCTCATATGACAGGTGCCCTCCTTACTCCCAGAGAAAAGGAAGGAAGACACAGAAACACCAAGAAGAATATGGACAAACAGGCCTTGCTAAGCTCCCCCCATCCCCTGTTTATTACCATGACATCATATTCCCTTTGTCCAATCACACTTTCATCAAACCTGAACATGAAAATACACAGGTTTCTCTGTTTGGGGGGTGGGTCTTCATTTCTGAAGTTTCCATGTCATGTAAAACTTATATTAAAGAAATGTGTATGTTTCACCCCTGTTAATTTGTCTTGTGTTATAGGGATCTAAGCCATAAGCCTAGGATAGATGAGGAAAAGATACTTCACCTGTTCGTCTGAAGGCTGAGGGATGGTTCTTATCAGACTGGAAGGAGCCATGCACCGAGAAGTTGACCCTGTAACAAGCCCTGGAGGTGGGAAAGAAGGAGGAATTCAGAAATGCATTCAGCACGTATTTATTGACATGTGCCTAAGTCCACAAGCACATATCAGAAGCCCTTGAGGCCAGTTATGTTTTAGAATTCAGAAATTTTCAGGTTTTAGAAAGGCAATGTGCATAAACCAAATATTATATAACATCCCTAGAGGGGTTGGAGGCAACACTTTGCAAATCAAACACGATATTTCCACAGTCCTGTCTCAGCCAGATATATGAATATTCACACCAAGTGGGATAAATGCAACCTTACTTCACCTCGTGTTTTGCCACCAAGGTGGTTACAAAAATTTGTGTGTTTTTAGAGGTTTGGGGATTTTAGAATTATGGATAGGGATTGTGGACCTGGGCCAGGTGCCGGGCAGTGTTCTGATGCTGGGGAAATAGCACTAACACGACCAGAGCAGAGGCCTGAGGGAGCTGGTAGGCTCTGAACGAGGGATGGTTCCCCAGTGGGGCCCTGGCAGATGCAGGTGTAATCTCCATGGGGAGAAGGGGAGATTTTTAAAGGGAAACAAAACAAAACAAAACAAAACAAAACAACAATAGAAATGGTGTTCCATTAAAGCTCTAGAAAACATTAGTGCATAAGCTTGAATGCTTTAAAAAATATCTCCAACAGAAAATCAACAGAGAATAGAGGCTCCCTCCCTCCTTCCTGTTAACAATAGGCAGCTCAGTGGCTCTGGTGACTGGAGGGCCATGGGCCTCAGCTGGAAGATGTGAGTGCCCAGCAGACTGGACGGGCACAGCTGATGCCCACCTGACAGAAGCAGACCCCAATGGAGAGAGACCCACTCTGAGTGGTGGTTTGTGACTGTGTGTTGGGATATGGGGGAGACAAAGGTACCCCTGGGACAGGTCGCCAGAATATTTCCTGGGGTCTATAACCTATAGGAACCTGTAGGAACTGACATATACACATATGTCTATGCATGAGTGTTTATATATATATTAACTATTGGGAGGAAGACTTTTCGTCTATTCACTTAGTTTGGAGTGCTTGGGGGCCTGCAAATTAACTAGCAATAGACAAATTAGCAGAAGAAAAAAGGAAGTTTATTTACACGTGCATTGGACGTCACTAATGAGTAACTCACTGAATACCCAGTGGTAAAGGTTTATATACAGGTTGAATATCCCTTATTTGAAATGCTTGGGACTTAGAAGTGTTTCAGATTTTGGATTTTTTCAGATTTTGGAATGTTTGTATATGCATAATGAGATACCTTGGGAATCTCAGACCCTATGTCTAAACACAAAATTCATTTATGTTTTCCATGCAACTTATACCCATAGACAGATGATAACTTCATACAGTTTTAAAAAGAATTTTGCACATGAACAAAGTTTGTGTTCCGTTCATATATGTGTCTGGAATTTTCCACTTGTGGCATCCTGTCAGTGCTCAAAAACTTTCTGATTTTTAGAGCAGTTTGGATTTTGGATTAAGGATGCTCAATTTGTACCAATATAACAAAAAAGGGAGTAGCAGGAATTTACGGATTCGATGGGAAAATGTGTAAGGTGCTGTGAGTTTTTCTTGTGCTAATGGGAAGGGGCAATTTGTCCACTTCCTGGAATTTGCAGGAAACCCCCTCAAAGCAGGGTTAATAGCAGCCTGTATTTTTGAAAGACTCTTTGTTAGTCAGATAAGGAAAGTTCAGATAAGATTTTAAATATTTTCACCTCTAAACAATCTTTATGCCAAAGCTGCCATCCCTTCAATACATATATGCAGCACACACATACATATGTAAATATATATTATATAGGTATATATATATACATGTATGGTATGCCTATATATTTATACACACACGGGATATTCTATACTTACACCGCTTATGGCAATTATTTTAAAAATCTCCCTCTGCTTTTTCTCTTGTTCACCTCTGCCCCCTCCCAAGATCCTGGCTTGCCCTCCTGAGGCCTGCAGGGTCAGGACCAGATCGAGGAGAAATGAGGAGGTTGCAAAGCGGCATGTGTAGATTGTGTGGTTTGCTGAGAGCCTTCAGTATGATGACAGGGTAGTGCTAGGCTCTTAGGTTCGCCATGAATCTAAGTGCAAATCAGGTATGCTTGGCTCAAGCTCTTTACCCTCTAAGTAGATTTCCCAGGGAGTTTCAGAAACATCAGCACAGGAGGGATGAATTTTCCGAGAATGTGTGCTCCTGCATTAGTGGGTATACGCAAGAGCCAGAGAAATCTGGGCTCTCACGTTCACTGGGCTCCCACTGGCTAGAAAACTCAGGGTCTAAACTCCAGTGAACATTCTCAAAAGAATCTAAGAACCTCGCTACCTCTTCCTACATTGTGTGGCCACTGTTGACTCTCTCCACAGCACTCCCAGAAATTGTTCTGGATTTTTTTTCTAGGAAACAGCTTAGGGACATTTATCTTTCCCCTGTCCTCCTTGGGGAGAGCATGTGTGGACCACTCCCCACCGGTTGGCATCTCAGCTCAGCCCCTTCGCCTCATTTCTGCTTCTGCAGAGAGTTTCCCACAAAATTTTCCCACAAAGTTTTTTGTTAGCGTTTATCGAGGATTTCACCAGCAAAGCAAAAGCCTCTGCCTGCAGGCTGATTGGTTGGTCATGAAAGAAAAGGTGAAGACATTTCTGATGAACGGTCCCATTTGAGAAGGGAAAAGCAGCCCTGTGGCCAAGTCCCCTGTGAGTGTTTTGGTTCGCCTAGTAGACCGCTTCTGCCAGTGTTTATCCAGCACAGGGAAGGTGCTTTGAATAGATGTCTTTGCTGACACGGAACCCTTTGCTTTGTGAATAGGGCGATTACTAAACAATGAAGCTATTACATTAGGAGCAGGAGCTGGCTGGAGCCAACAAATCTCCTCTCCGTTTACAGAGCTATAATTATCCAGAGTTTTAAAACACAATGGTATCTGCTGAGAGGGAACATCTGGGAGGGAACCAAGCCATCCCAATTAAAGGAGTGATGCACAGCCCCATGGATTGGATGACTCCACATTAATGGGGTGGCGATTTTTTTAGATGTCACTCAAGTTAACAAATGTGCTGAAAGGTTTGAGCAGAACAAATGTGCAGGGGGAAAAATCAGATCAAGAAGAGAGATCTGTTTTATAAGAACATCTACAAATTGGTTGCAGAAAGCATTCCAGGCTGCTGTTATGAACACTAATCAAGAGAAAAATGTTTCATGAGGTTTTTCCCATATGAAAATAAAAGCTTTTTCCACTTGCCATTTCATTTCAAAATAAATTCTTTTAACCTCCAGAGGACCCCGCATGACAGAGTGGGGTGGGAGGACAGCATTGCGGGGAGGTCTGAGTGACTCGGGGTTATGGGGCTGTGCCGGCACTTAGGCTCACCATAAAGATTAGGGGAAATCAGTTGTTATGAGAGATTGGAGACTCGATCCTATAAATAGATTTGGCCCAGATAGTAGCATTGGACTCTGCTTTGCCAGTAAAGGTTACAGTATGTGCTCCGCCATAACCATCTGTCCTAAAATGGGTATGGGCCACATGCTTAGGGCTCCTGAGCACTTCGAGATCTAAATCAAGGGTCTATTCCACCTGTTACGTAAGTTGAGGGCAATTCTTCCAGGCAAAAAGAGAAAACTAAAAGAATAGTTATGAGGGCAGTAACAAAACCAGACAAAAGAATCTCTCATTCATCATCTTATACCTCTGGGAATGTTTGCTCTAATGGAGTGGGAGTTCCATCGGGGGCGGGGAGGGGGCCCACCATGGGGGATTATTTCTTCAATTATGCTTCCTTCCCATCTGTTTGGGGGCACTGCAGCAGCATCACACAGGGGCTCAGCTCAGTTCTGAAGGCAGAATCCGGGAAATGATTTGGGTCATCACAGGCTATACCGCAGAGCCCACAGTAGGCTAAATCAGGAAAGTTGGGTGCTTGCCAGGTTTTTCCCAAGCTGTCCTTTTCTGGCCCTTTGCTGATGCTCCTGCTGCAGTGGAGTCCCTCCCCACTTTCAGAGCCCTGTTGGTCCCCCTTCTGATTGTTTCCCACAGAAGTACACTAAAACATGCTGTCAGAGCACTTGCTAGCTTTCACTTACTCCAAGGGTAGAAAACGTTTAAGTCTCTTTATCAACTTTCCCATAAGTATTTGCATGATGATTGCTGCAAAAGCAGTATTATAACAACATAAAAAATTAATAATTAAAACAGTTACCAATGAACCCACCACCCTACTACCATTTGAGTACCCCTAAGCCCATTTGTTCACTGAGCCTTCACCTGCTTTTTCCATTCTGCTTTGTTAAATATTTGCCTATTTCTAAGTTTTACTATGGAAGATAATACCACCATCAACACGTGCATTCTTTTTAACCTTCTGTGAAAGATCTCTCCAGAAATCTGGACCGATGCACAGTACTGTGAACTGAATTGTGCCAAAATTCATACACTGAAGTGTTAACCCCCTGTATTTGGAGATAGGGATGTTAGAGAGGTAATTCAGGTTAAATGAGGTCAGAAGGGGGCAGCCTAAATCCTTATGACTGGTGTTCTTATAAAAAGAGAAGGAGAAAGCAGAGCTCTCTCTCTTCCTCCATGTACACAGAAGAAAGGTCACTTGAAGACACAGAGGGAAGGCGGCCATCTGCAAACCAAGAAAAAGGCCTCAGGAGAAATCAAATCTGCAATGCCTTGGTCTTGGACTTAACAGCCCCCAGAACTGTGAGAAAATAAACGTCTGTTGTTTAAGCCTCCCAGTCTGTGGCATTTTGTTATGGTAGCCCAAGTAGATGAATACATACAGTGTTGGGGTTGAAAGGTGAGGAAGAGAAAAGCAGCCTTTGACATTAGGAGCAGGCCTGGCCCTCACAGCTAGCCCATGTGTTCTCCTGCTGAACACAAACAATTTCACAGAAATCTAACATCAGACAAGGCCACTCTGAGGCCACGAAGGATCGGGACAAGAAAAAGACCACTCCACAATCATGTCTGAATCCAGACAAATGCACAAACCACAAAAATGACCCAAGCATCTTCCTATACTGGATAAATGAATGATTGCCACAGCTTCCTTACCCATTTTAAGCTTTAGCCTTGCTCTAGTTTTTTCACCTTCTAGATTAGATTTATTCATAGAATTACTCTCACTTCCTGAGAGCATCCAATCCAGAACAAAGCCCCACTTCCTTAAATCTTCTCCCTAAACACCTAATATGAGCCAAAATCCTATCACAAGTCCTTCCTAAGCTCCGACTGAGCAACTCTGTGGTTCCTTGTAAGCATTAAACCCAGCTTAGCATGTGTATATTTCTGGTGGTCACTGGCTGAACAATGTTATCAGTGATGTGAGTGTTTTTGTGGTTTTTAATAAGCATTTAACATTGTATCAAAGAAGCTACTCAATTTTGATTGCTTTCAAAAATTTTACACAACCCAACAGCAACTTAAGTGTTAGGGTCTTTTTCAATTAAGTGGACAGTATAAACTGAATCTTGTTTCAACGTGTATGTTTTATTGCTTTGTAGGCTAATCATTTTCCCAGGTTTTTAATATTTCTCCTCTACTAGTATTTCCTTTTATCTGTCACCAGTGTGATATTCAATGATGAAAAAATAATTTTTGTCTCCTAGTAAAAATATTTCGCAAGTTTCCTGGAATGTGAGCGAGGTATTTGAAGGGTTGTAGTATTGTAAGAGTGTTTTTCACTCCTGCTTCTGAAATGAAACTCATGGCCTGGGATTTAGGGTCCTCATAGTAGAAACAGCATTGCATGTGCACACACACACAACAAAAATGGGGGAACACTCGGCAATTACAATCCTCATTTCTGTAACTTGTCATGTTGTCATAGCTGGTGGTTATAACCTCTTTCTTCTACTACCCATTCTGTATTTCCCTTGCCTTCAACAAGCGCCTCAGATGGTCACAAACCTTCATTTCTAAAGAGTCTGAGCCAATGTCCTTCCTGGCTTGGGTTGTTACAGTTTTCCATTGGCCTTAATCATAGGGCTTGGTAATATTAAGAGGTGCCCTAAGGGATCTCCTGTAGTCCAGAAATACTCTTCCTTACCTCTGTTGTGGAGTAGTAGTCCAATTTCCCCTTGGTAGTCAGGGTCAGTCACCCTAATCAGCACAGTAACTCCTTTCTTTGTCTGTTGATTCAGAGGAATGAGGAGTCCAAAGTGGTTTCATGGCAGTCTTGACTTCCAGTTCAGTGGAAGCATTGCTATGTCTCCCTGTGGAAGTATTCTTCCATCTAGAACAAAGACCTGTGGGCCAGCAGAGTATGAAGTCATGGGAACAAAAAGCAAAATTTACTAGCGGGTAACCAGGAGTAATAGTGAGTGGTAGAACCCCATTTCAACCCCTTGATTCCTGGGCCTGTGAGTTTCTGGCTATAGGAGAAATAGCATCATAGATTAAATGCTGATTCAGAGCATATACAGTCTTACAGAGAACCTTGTCCTAACCCTGCAAGGTAGTGACACTTAGCTGGCACTAGACGGAGTCTTCAAAAGTCCATTTCACTGTTCTATCAAGCCAGCTGCTTCAGGATGATGGGGGAACACGGTAAGACCAGTGAATTCCATGAGCATAAGCCCACTGCCACACTTCATTTGCTGTGGAGTTCTTTGGTCAAAAGTAATGCTGTGTAGAATACCATGAGGGTGGATAAGGCATTCTGTGAGTTCATGAATGGTGGTTTTGGCAGAAGCACTGCAGGCAAGGAAAGCAAATTCATATCCAGAGTAAGTGTCTGTTCCACTAAGGACAAGATGCTGTCCCTTCCCTGATAGAAGTGGTCCAATGTAATCAACTGCAAACAGGTAGCTGGTTGATCATCTGGGGAATGTTGCCATATTAGGGGCTCAGCACTGTTCTCTGAGGCTGGCAGATCGGGCACTTGGCAGTGGCCATAGGTCAGCACTGGTGAGTGGGAAGTCCATGTTGCTGGGCCAAGGCATAATCTTCATCCCTGCCATAATGGCTGCTTTGTTCATGAACCCATTGGGCGATGACAGGGATGGCTGGGGAAAGAGGCTAACTAGTATCCACAGAATCGGTCATTCTGTCCACTTGACTATTAAAATCCTCTTCTACTGAGGTCACCTTTTGGCAATCATTCACATGGGACACAATTATGTTGACTTTTTTTTCCCATTCAGAGAGGTCTACCTACATATCTCTTCCCCAAATTTCTTTGTCACCAATTTTCCAGTGGAGCTCTTTCTACATCCCTGACCATCCAGGCATACTACTGCTCACAGCTCATAAATGAAGATAAACAAATGTCAACCCATTTTTCTTTCCAAGCAAAGTGAACAACAAGGTGCATTACTCAAAGTTCTGCCCACTGGAAGGAATTGCTTTCACCACCATCCTTCAGAGATGTCCCAGAAAGGGCAGTAGTGCTGCAGCTGTCTACCTTCAGGTGGTGCCTGCATGTTGTGCACAACCATCTGTAAACCAAGCCTAAGTCTTCTCTTCCTCTGTCACTGATCATAGGAAACTCCTCATGAGACTGGGAGAGATAAGGCAGTGTAGCAGGAGTGGGAACCATGAGCATCTGCATCACTTCTTCATGTAACTCACTTGTGCCTGCAGGACCTGCTCAGTCCCAATCAGTCGAATCACTTCCATTTGATGATGGAGTGCTTCTATGCACACCTGACATTATAACTTGCTGGGTAAGAAAACACCCAGTTCATGATGGGCCGCTCAGGTTGCATGGTAACACGGTAACCCATAGTTAAGCATTTAGTCTTTACTAAGGCTCAGCAGCAGGCCAAAAGCTGTTTCTCAAAAGGAGAGTAGTTATCTGTGGAGATTGGCAGGGCTTTGCTCCCAAATCCAAAGGCCTGCATTGCAGTTCACCCATAGATGCCTGACAAAGGCTCCAAACAGCATCCCTATGTGCCACTGACACTCTAAGCACCTTTGCTTGGCCCTGCTGGATCTTATGGCCCAAGCGGCAGAGCAGTTTGCACAGCAGCCTGGCCTGTTACAGAGTCCTCTCTTGTTCTGGGACCCACTCAATATTAGCAGCTTTTTGATCACAGTAATACACCCAAATGAAGAATATGTTGCCTCCAAAATCTGAAGAAGCCCAGTAGGCATTGCACTTCTCTTTTGGTTGTAGGAGGGGCCAGATGGAACAACTTAGCCTTCCCTTAGAACGGATATCTCAATAAGCTTCACAACATTGGATGCCTAAAACTTTCACTAAGGAGAGGGCCCCTGAAATTTGTTGGATTTATTTCCCACCTTCTTACATGCAAATTTCTTACCAATAGGTCTAAAGTAGTTACTGCTTCTTGCTCAGTAGGTCCAATCAACATAATGTCATTAATCGCATGGACCAATGTAATACCTTGTGAAAGTGATTGAGACTCCCATGAATTAGATTATAATACAATGCTGGAGACAGTTAGCATAACCCTGAGATGAGCAGTAAAGGTGTATTGCTGGCCTTGCAATGAAAGAAAACTGCTGTTGGTAGTCTCTATTGACAGATATGAAGAAAAAGGCATTTGTCAAATCAATAGTTGCCTATCAGGTTTCAGAGAATATGCTAATTTGCTCAAGCAATGAAACCACATCTGGTACAGCAGCTGCAAGGGGAGTCACCACCTGGTTAAGCTTATGATAATTCGCTGTCATTCTGCAAGATCCAACCGTCTTTTACATAGGTCAAATAGGCAAGATGAATGGGAACGTGGTGGAAATCACCACCCCTGCATTTTTCAAATCTCCGATGCTGTCACTAATCTCTGAAATCCCTTCAGGGATGCAGTATTGCCTTTGGCTTACTATTTTCCTATATAAGGGCAGTTCTAGTGGCTTCCTCTTGGCCTTTCCCACCATAATAGTCCTTATCCCACAGATTAGGTAACCCATGTGGGGATTCTGCCTGCTGCTGAGTGTATCTATTCCAATTATGCATTCCAGAACTGGGGAAATAACCACAGAATGGCTTCTGAGACCCACTGGGTCAATGGGACACAGACCTGAGCTAAAACTCCACGAGTCATCTCACCTCCATAAGCCCCTACTCTGGCTAGTGGACCAAATGATGGTCCCTGTCTCCTAGATTCCATGTCAGTTCAGAGCCTTTGTCTGGTAGTACCCAAAAGATCTGATTATTTCCTTTTCCTCAAGCCACACTTACCCTGGTAAAAGGCCGTAGGTCCCTTTGGGGAGGCTTGGGGAAAAAGTAACCGTATAAATTATTGGCAGTGTACCAGGGTCCTTCATCAAGGGGACCCAGTTTCCTTTTCATTCAAGGGGTTCTGGCTCTGTAAACTGGCTTAAGTCTGGGAATTCATTTGGGCGCCACGATTCCCTACTTTTATGATTCAAGATAGACTTTTGCTCACTTGAACGTTGCTGTTGACACAGATCGATTAACAATTTAGTAGGTTTTCTATCTGCTTCACTTCTGAAAACATCATAATCAACTAGCTAATGCCATCGGTCTGGAAGCCCGGCTATTCTGATTGCTGCTTTGACTCTACTGTCCCTTAAGGTAACCACACTCACTTTGCCTTTGGTGGTTAAGAGCTGCCACATGGCTCCTGCCACGCTAGGATCCAATCACTCCATTGCATTTAGGTTTCCCAGTTCAGTGACTGCGGATCCCACTGTAAAGTCTCACCTACAGAGAAGAGTGATCACGGAGTTTTTCAAGGATACCAGGGATTTCCTCACAAATTTATGTCTCACAATTGTGGTGAAAAATACATCTGCTGGACTCTCTCTGGGTGAGGGGGAAGATACTAAATGACAAATCCACTCTAACATTTCAATCTCCCTAAGCCTTTGAATCTCTTCCTCTATATTAAAACAGGGCAGTTCTAGCATTTTGAACTCACTCAATATCGCCCACCTTTTGGTCTATGTTTCAGCCAACCAACCAAATTTAGTCCCTTTGTGTTGCTATGAAGGAATATTTAAGGCTGGATACTTTATAAAGTAAAGAGGCTTCTTTGGCTCATGGTTCTGCAGGCTGTACAAGAAGCATGATGCCAGCATCTGCATCTAGTGAGGGCCACAAGCTGCTTCCACTCATGGCAAAAGGTGAAGGGGAGCTGCTGTGTGCAGAGATCACATGGCAAGAAAGAAAGGTGGTAGGGAGGGAGGTACTGGGCTCTCTTAAACAACCAGCTCTTGTAGGAACAAATAGAGCAAGAATTCACTCACTCTTGCAAGAATGGCACCAAGTCATTCCTGAGAGATCTGCCTCCTGAACCAACACCTCCTACTGTTCCCCACCTCCAACATTGGGAATCAAATTTCAACACGAGATTTGGAGGGAACAAGCAAACTAAGGTATAGCACAAACAATTAGAGCCCTTTCTAACTGCCTGAGCTGCAATGTTAAATACAGAATCTCGGCTTAGTGAGTCCACATCAATGAATTCCACCTAATCCAACTTTATATTCCTCCTGCCATTATCCCACACCCTCAATATCCACTCCCACACATGTTTCCCAGATTTCTATCTGTATAAATTAGAAAATTCCAGTAGTTCTTTTGAACTGTAGTATACTTCCTTGTGAGTTACATTTTGTACCTTACCTTTAGGAGCCTACTAGGACTTGAATCAAGTTATGGGTCTAGAAGCAAAGAGGGGTGATAGAAATAGGTCTTGAGGAGAATCATTGTTTAGCATGTCATCTACCACAGAGGGGGTCATTACAGTTTTCTAGGACAATGCAGGTTTAATCCCATCAGATGAGAGGTGAGGGGCTGAAGAGGCCAGTACCACTGGGAGTGGGAAGGTGGCTTCCACAAAGGGTAGAGAGGCCTCTTCCACTGGCAAATATTTATCAGATTCCAGGGGCTCGATTTCCCCAGTTTCATCAGGTCTTCCCACATATCCCCATTCCAACTATCAAAGTGCATATCTTCCTCACTTCAACGTTAGACTTCCTGTGAGGCTGAGAGTATAACCTGTGCAGTAATTCAGCCAGTCTCAGGATAAGATTCTGTGTTTGATTTTCAGCAATCATAGCCCTGCTGCTAAAAGCAATAATGATATTTCAGGGCACACATAGAAGATTTCAGGTTTTGTACATGGGGCTTAAACTGAAGATTCAAATCCCTGAGCTCATCCTTTTCTTTCCCCACTTTGTCCAGTGACATTTGGATCAACCAGCCAACCTCATTATACTTGTTAGTTTGCAAAAAAAAAAAAAAATTGTTCATAAGTATATACATAGCCCCCACAACCACCCCCAGCTCCTTGCTTCTTGTAAGAGGTTGCTAAGGAGTATCCAATGGTGGTATTTTACATATCTCTATTGTAAGATCATGCCATGGACTACCGGTGCTCTCATTACTACTAAAAATAAAGTCATAAGCATCTTTAAATCTAATCAGATTAGAGAGCCAATTCCAGAAACCACAGAACCAATTCAGAAAATCCATCGTTAACATTCCTTTTTTTTCTTTTTAATTTAATTTAATTTAATTTTTTGAGACAGGGTCTCATTCTATTGCCCAGGCTGTAGTGCAGTGGTACTATCGCAGCTCACTGCAGCTTCAGCTGCCTGGGCTCAAGCAATTTTCTCACTTCAGCCTTCTGAGTAGCTAGGACCATAGACACACTACCCTATGCCTGGCTAGTTTTTTCTTTTTTTATTTTTCGTAGAGATGAGGTCTCACTATGTTACCCAGGCTGCTCTCAAACTCCTGGGCTCAGGCGATCGTCCTACCTTGGCCTCCCAAAATGATGGGATTACAGGCACGAGCCACAGCACCTGGACTTCATCCTTAACGTTCTGTTTCTCTAGAACTATAAAGGAAGTGGGAATAGTCATACGACATTGCACATGTACTAAATGCACTGAATTGTACACTTAAAAATGTTTAAAATATTAATTTTACATGTATTTTACCACAATAAATAAATTTAAAAAAAAACCAGTTACAAAAAAGGAAAAGAAATAACCCAGGCCTGAATGAAGGTAGGCAAGGGCAAAAAGACCCTCAATTCAGAGTTTAACTCAACAGGAAGTGCTGATCAATTTGATGGTTGAATAAGGATAAAAGCTCAGAGTTTTAGAGTTTTAAGAAATAAAATATGAGTCTAAGGTTTTCTATCTGTAACTTTACATTCATCTTTCTTCTAGGATTTAGTCAAAAGTCTTTTCAACTTTTGGACCAATGATTCTATGCTAATTTGCACTTTCAACTGAACATTCATACTGTAATTTTGTCCCAGGCAGAATTAAAGTAAAGATTCAAGATCTGGGCTTGAATCTTTACCTACTTACCAAGATGTACCTACTTCTTCCGGAGACAACATTCATGATTCTTAAAGATTTCACAAGCGTGCTTTCTAAAGTAAATTATAAACAGTGCCAAAGAATTTGCTTCACTACATGCCTATAGGGTGGTGAATCAGGCTTAACTCTTCCTCCCCCACCCCCATTTCCCCATTCACATCTCACCTGACGTCTTCCTTTGACCTACTTTTT